GCCCTACCTGTAAATCTAAACCATGTAGGATATATGCTATATATACAACATGTATCAATAACCAATCAATGTTTAGTTGATTATTGATCTCTATGATCTATGTTGATAGTCAGCCCTACCTGTAAATCTAAACCATGTAGGATATATGCTTTATATACAACATGTATCAATAACCAATCAATGTTTAGTTGATTATTGATCTCTATGATCTATGTTGATAGTCAGCCCTACCTGTAAATCTAAACCATGTAGGATATATGCTTTATATACAACATCTGAAACAACAATGTCACATCATTACAGCATATAACATCTTAGAGTAACATGTCAACAATGTATAAATTGTATGTACAACAGCTGAGACTAATGTGTCAAGTAGATACAAGCGATATACAATAAATTAGCCCAAGATGTCAGTAATGGATGTATGCAATGTACAAGTACTACAACAGTTGCAACTAACATGTCAAGAAGTGAATACAGGCAATATACAGTGGACTCTGTCAATACCGGCCTCTCTTAACACCGGCACTCTGTCTACATCGGCACAAAGTTTCAGTCCCGCAGAAATGCACGTTATTATCATTTAGAAACTTCTGTAAACATCGGCATCTGTCTATTCAGGATATCGGCATTGTTTTTCAGTCCCAACGAACAAGTTGTTATGAAAACAAATCTGTAAAAACCAGCACATGAAAGAGTGCGTAACCCTTTGATGCAATTAGGTCCAAATGATGTAACAACACAATTCGCTGTGACTTCGAGATTATTCAGAAACGGAAACTGTTAATCAGTATCTTGTTAATCAGTGAGTGGTAATGCAACACTTACCCAGAGTAATTAATACATGTAGTGGGCAGCTTGACTGTATAAACAAGCAAGTGTTTACATTTTGTTGATTCGCTGGGTATTGACTCGAGATTATTCAGAAACGGAAGTGTCAATCAGTTTCTTGTTAATTAGTGAGTGGCACGTGTCACTTACATAGAGGCTAATCGCTTGATGCGTGTATCGTTGAACGCTCTGAACATCAACAATATCACTGTACTCTTGCCGAGTATTTTCACATTTGTAAGAAGCGATTTTATTGATAAAGATTGGTTTCTAACGACGCTTTTCACTACACTCTGCTTATAAGGGTCGCGGATTGGTCAAAATCAGACACTTGACCTAAGCAGCCAATCATATTATGGAAATGGATACCGTTCTCAAAACGAAAAACTTTTAGATTAAGGCGAAAGTTTTGGGGTAAAATAATGCTATTCTGAACATATTAAGAAAGACATCGCTACCATATCGTAAATTATGGAACTTATTGGACATAGCGTGCTAGGTTATGGCCTATGACAAAAATGCTTCATGCATATATTTTCACATTAAGCATCGTGTGAAAGCCGAGATGTAACTTGTCAGTGACTTGACTTACATTGCATGATCGCACAAAAGTATGGAAATAGTAATTTTATATGTACGTTTGACAACTTTATGAATGTTATTGTTGATTTCAATTTATTTAATGATTTCCTCGATGTTTGAAACATCGTTACTTTGCTCTTTGACAATGCTATTGTAGACCCGCCGCGAAGCATAAACAAGAATCGCTGTTTGCAATAACATTGCGAAAAATAGTTTATAATTTTAATTCTGCCGATAATATATGATCAGTTGAAATTCAATTAGAGATTTCAGACATTTTATTTGATTTAAACAACATGAATGTGCATTCAGTCACTGCCTTGTTTCTTATTCAAACATTTTGTTAATGCTAAAGTGACAGTACGACAGCGAACTTCCGTGTGCGCGAGGTCATCGCTTAACCTAGCTAAACCGGCACTCTGTCAAAAACCGCATTTTTACTTGGTCCCGACTGATGCGGTATTGACAGAGTACACTGTACATCTCAGACAAATTTGTAAAAGGGTGGATATTAATTATATACAATATCAAAGACTGTCATGGTTGAACATATACTCATAATACTGTATGTGATATCTGTGATAAACACTACAAAGGTCAGATATAAGGGCTAGACAACATCTGAGGCTGACAAGGGTTGGTGTACATTCACATGCTCTTCACACCACATGTACATCAGTGGTCGTGTCATTGTGAATCTGGGGTTTGGATCTGTGACTGGTGGATCCAGGAACACCTAGGGGAAGATATTGTTGAACTTTTTATCCATTCTTTGTTTTATCCAAAAGGAAAAATGAAAGCAGTGTATCCAACATCAAGTGGTGAAATGTGAGCCTACTTGAAGAATATTTTGGTCTGATTATCTGAATCTTCTAAGATTTTTTCTTTGCGCCCAATAATGTTTACTGTGGCACTTGAAATAGACACAGCCTTAGCACACTTGACCTACATTTCACTGACTTTAATCTTTGATTACTCAGGTTTCAACTTCATCTTCAGAAAAGACTTTTTTATAAGGTGATACATCAAAGCCTGTGGTAAAAAATAACATGACTTTCCTAACCAACAACCCTACATTTCCAAAAAATTTCCCCCCTACAAGCCGACTCTTCTGCCCACTTTAACACTGATGATGAATATGAGACGTGTACATGGACACAGTGCTATGTAAAAGGTTCCCTATCTAATATGATTCATAGTTCACAGTATGGAAAATTTGATCAGTCTGGGATTCTATCATGTCATCTTGTGGCTGAGTTACTGGAGATAGTTGTGTGGCAGATACAATTACTGCTTGACAGTTGACACAATAAGTTGAAACACTTGCTCACAGAGTTGCCACCAAGTCTCATCATCTCTTCTGTGTGATGCTGAACTAGGGCTACAGTAATAACAAGACAAGATTCAATTTCCAGCTGGCTAACTGTAGACAAGCAGACACTGGTTCCACCTTGCCCACATGTCTGAAGGATTGCCAGGAACTTATTTCCTTGTGAATTACATGCTGATAGTAGCTGCATGTCCAGGGGGTAGTGTCAAAAGTAAATAGAGGATTTTCAGATTGTTATGAGACTCATGTTTTGTTATGATAGCACACTCTTTTAGATAAACATTGTTGAGATGTTTACTGGCGGTAATGTGCAATAAGTGACTTAGCTCATTTTCAGAACAAGAAAGTGACATGGTTGGCACTTTACTAGTTTACTCTGGTATGGTACCTTATACATGATATAAGGTGTATAAATCATGGTATAATATGTGATGTATATATTATTGTACAACACGGTGTTACTCAGTCATGTATGGATGAGGAAAAGATATATATTGCATCCTGTGCTATGCACAAGAATGTGCACTGTACCAAATTCTTCACAAGAAGTATAAGGATTCTGTGATTAAAATAAACAGTACATCTTACGGTTCAGTACATGACACATTCATTACTTTTACAGGATCCTAGTTTTGTGGGTCAAAGTGAAATCCTAATACAATACAAAGGGTATACATATTCACAGCTTTTAGGACAAGAAGTCTGATGGTGTGATATACTCTGAGTCGTGTTCTTTGAAATAGTTTGCATGGACCCAAGTCTAGCAGTGGTAGGCAGTGTGTCATCGTATTGCTGATTCATAGTATTGTATGGTCCAGACTTGATTATTACTGTTGTATTTAGGGATGCAAAAATGTTGATCTTTTCATGGACAATTATAAAATATGAAATAATAATGTTCAAAATGTAACTTAATTTACACAATAATGCCACGAAAATAGGTATTGTGATGCGTATCGAATCGTGACATGGGTATTGTGATACCTATCGATTCATGAAACTTATGTATCGTGACATCCCTAGTTGTATTATTGTATAAAGTAGCACGCAGTAATTTTTCAAAGTGGCTGAACAAACTAGTGGTTCACATGTATCCAATCCTCGCCATGATATGTCACTTGCTCAGCTCCAATCTCAATGCATGTGGTTGCATCGACCAAGTACACACGTCAGTATCTTCTTGTGTAGTTCCAATTAATTTGTTTCTTCAGTTAATTGATTAGCTTTGCTATCTATACAATGGTTGATCATGTAATCTCTATTTGATTATATTCCAGTTGAGTTCTTTCATTTTAATTAACTTGTTTGTGTTAATATCATGTCAGGCATAAACAACAGGAGTATGATAACAGAATTCAAGGCTTCTTGAACATAGAGATTTTTTCTGGCTTACATCTTCTTTTTATTCTTGAATATAACGTTTCAGGGCTTGTTCTGGCCCCATCATCAGGTAAAACTGAACAGTGATGATGATGTGTGATGATGATGATGATGATTATGATGATGGGGCCAGAACAAGCCCTGAAACATTGTACTCAAGAATAAAAAGAAGATGTAACCCAGGAAATATCTCTATGTTCATCAAATAGCATCTTCTAAAATGCCAATCAAGCATTCAAGGCTTCTTGATGTTGGAATGCATCCCGATTGGGGATGACTTATGTTGCAGAGCACAGTAAAATGTTGTTTGAGTTTTGCTATCTTTTTTTTTCTTATATTTACATGAAGGATACTGAGAACAGATGTGCTAAATTGATGGTATTCCTCTTCTCAATCAGAACTGTTTGTTAGTCAGACAGTCATCGATTGTCCCCAATAGGTTTAATGGCCAGACTTGTTTCCAATCAAGTGAAGCAACATATGCTTGTCATACAAAGTGAGTTAATCAATAATGGTCCCCCTCTGTGTGTTCAATATGTGATTGTACCCTGACAGAATGGGACATTGATCCTGGTATCTATCACCGGTTTGTCTGGTCTAGACCCAGTTATTTACCAGGGCCCAGTTCCACAAAGCTCTCGTAAGCCTAAGATCTCGTAACTTTCCTCGTAGCATTCCTACCTCCTGTAACTGTGACTAACGATAGTCATAGTGCTAAGAGAGCTTTGTGAACACAGGCCTTACTGGTGTTATTGAGCTGGAACATTGCTGAATACAGTACGAGCAACAATCAGACAAACAAATGATGATTATGTGCGTGAAGTTTAACCGATTCCCAGACTTTATATGTGACTCTGACAATGTATTGTTGTAGACCCTAGATGTGGACCGCAGCGGCTTGACCAAGATGAAGAAGTCTGTGAAGGCCCTGTACAACACAGGATCCAGTAAGTACCACAATATGCTGCCATCATGTAGTGAAGACCTGGCTTGGGTCTGCAGGCTTGCTTCCTATGGGTATTATAATTGGAATGGGATGTGCCAATGAATAATCATCCGTATTACCAGTTTCTTACAAGAACTGTACAATTGTCAGGATATGATAGAATGTGACACTAAGCATATAAGTATTGATGGTCCAATGGTCAATTAGTACTGATCATTTAATCATGATATCCAGTACCGATTAATAATGAATTGTAAGTTTCTATCAGTTTGGAAGCAGTGTTGGCAGAGGGGGTTAGAACTTAGATCTTTTAAGTGCTGCCATCTGGTGCCTGACTCGGAGAGTGTGGGTTCGATTCTAGATGGGATCTAGTACTTAAAAAGCTCAAGAATCTGTTCTTTGTTGAGAAAGATTAAAACATATGTTAAATTTGGATTTATAAGTGATGTTTGTATCAAAGGCAGGTTTGAAAGAGCTTGTTTAATAGCACCTTGCACACATACAGTTTTAGTGATGAAAGGATTTTGTTGAATTGGTCATCTATTTTCTCAGAAGCATGTAAGTGCCTTGAGGCCCTCTCCCCCACTTCTCTCAACCACATCCAGACCACATAGGATCAGACTGGATTGTGCATTTTCAGAATTCACAAGACTGAAAATGTTAACTGTGCATTGTGGTAATGTTGTGCTATTCACAAAAATATGTATTATCAAAACAGTATTTCAAAAGTGGTGTTTATACTATTCATGTTTCTTGGGATAAAACATGCTTTTAGAAAGGAATTTCATTTGTTTTTAGTTGAGCAAATTGAAAACATTTCTTAGCAACTCTCTGTAAGCACTGCATTGTCTCGACCTTGACAGCACAGTGGTGAGAACTTGCAGCTGAGTGCAGTTTAATGGGCTGGCATTCTGTAACTCAATAGGCTAGTTCGAAAATTGTGCGAAGAAAAACAGAATTATGGGAGACTGTGACATCACCAGACGCCATTGTTAGAATGCTGGAGTAGCCCCCTGCGACATATTTGAATTTAGGGGTAGATATCAGAGTTGACAGTTATTGCTCCCTTTAATCGCCTTTTATAGAATACTTGACTGATTTGTGTGTTATACAGGAAATAAACACTGGGAGGTGATATGAACTTGTCATATACGCGAGTGTGATATATCATGGGAAATACACACCAGGGTGATATCTACGTGATAGTTACACTGAACATGCCGAGTGGTGTAACAGATAGAACTTGTTCAGTGACATCTGCGCTCAGCCTGAATGAAAGGCTATCTGGGTTCAATCCCTTTGCCCAAGAAAGTGCATTGTCGAGTAACAAAGTTCAGTATATTGCTATCTGCCCCGTATGTTGGTGCATGCAGAAATTAATTCCAACCAGCAGTGTTGTAAATATGCTGAACACTGGTGATTCTAAAAGTCTCTTTTTTGAGCACATGTGTCGACTATGTAGGTACATGTTACAAAACTAAACACATTCTCCCTCAGATCATCTTTATGGTTAAATGTGCTCTGTGTATCAGAATTCAGTTTCGTTAAACTTAGATCTGAATGCTGGCTACCACCAGACAAAGATTTGAGGACATCCCATTACAGGGCTTGTCAGAAGAATTTCACCAGATCAACTGACCAATGAAATGATGAACAGAAAGTCAACATAATCCAATTAGAAAGCATCTTTGTCATGCCCTAAGGTACTAGTTTCAAAATGGCAAATTATTTTCCAGACTGCAGTGTGGACATTTTTTTCCCGATTCAAAATTTGAAAACAGAACAAAACAAAATTCTGGAATGTTATCCAATGTTGTATGGCAGTATTCCTGTTTCTGCCATTTGAAACTTATCCCATTGAAGCGAGATAACCAATAATTTTCGTTTTAGAACGTCATGTGTTATTTGCGGTTTCATGATAGAAAATACATTTGGACATTCATTTTCATGATGTGATAAGCGATGCTCTCATTGGTCACATGAAAGGGTCTTCTGATGTGGCTTGTAATAGGAAGTCTTCAGATCTTTGTGTAACTCTAGTTGGCACCAACATCTGATTTTAATGAGATTGTGTTAGAATCACCAAACTCCATACTTTAAAAGCATGGTAGGGGGACCTTTTCAGATTAATGTAAGTTCCAATGAGAGAATATTTTGTTGGAACATTCTCATCAATTGGAACAAAAGAGATTTGCTTGTAATTAATAAAGTCTCACTCAAGTGAACACTCTTAGAAAAAGTCAAGTTCATAAACTTCAGATGCCCACGGTTGTAATTCTGTAATAAAGTCTCACTCAAGTGAACACTCTTAGAAAAAGTCAAGTTCATAAACTTCAGATGCCCACGGTTGTCTCAGTTCTGTAACACAGTCTAACCGGTATCAAGCCACACTCTTTTTTCATTACCACACTTTTGTCCACAACAAATAATGTAATGTAATTTGAAAATGACACATTACTGAATCAACACTGGAGCTCCTACACTGGAAGAACAGTGCCTGTGGACAAATGTTGGGCCCACTTGGAACAGATATTATCACTGCACCTGTTTTACCCCAAGTAAGTGATCGTTCACAACCACTGTGACAGTATTGTGTGAGAAGGTAAATGAGGAATAATTATTTCTAAGTAACTTCTCATGCAAACAGCGACATAGTTGCAGGATTGAAGGACTGGTAGGGGAACCATGGGGTTAAGGTAATGATGTATCATGAATTAATGTTTCACAGTTCAGGAAATAATGTCATAATTGTACAACTGTATGAATGTCAGGTTGAGCTGTTGATCAGGTGTGTGCTTCACAGATCCCTAGGGGATTAGTGTGAATTCATGTCAGCCATCAGAGTGGGGTATAACATGCCAGATGAAATGTTATACTCAAGTCAAGGTAGTCATACAAGATCTTGTCTGAAATTCTATCTCCTTATCTCAGATTTGTGGCATCCAGGGAGGGTCATCGCTTTATGGCATAAATTGTCCACTCAGTCTTGCATTTATCACGTCCTTGTCGTAAGACCAGAGTGAATTTTATGGCTAAAGTAGCTGCTGAATATGTCTTCAAGTTCTCACAACTGGCCTCTGGATGACTGGGCCAGACTCTGGTGTTTTACAGGCAGTAGTGACAATAAGATGACTGACCACCATGTCACTACGTGACCTTACAATGTTTAGTTTGATAAATACATGATTCTGATTGGTTAAATTGTGGTATCAATTAAACAGATACTACGCTTGCTATATATGATTAGTGAATCAACGCTGTAAGCAAAAGCAGTCTGTCCTGAGTTTAGGTTATCAGTCTTGGTATTTGAAGGTTCCTATTCCAGTAGAACTACAGTTGGATATAGAATGGTCCACTACTGAGAGAAATGAATTGTTTTCCTTGCAGCATTTGAATTGACTACATTATGTCTGATAATGCCTTCATGGCGGGATGAAAGTTTTTTTACCACACGACTTCAGTTCAGCCCCATCAATATCGTATCTCCCTTAAAGCGGAACAGTGAAATAAGAAGGGCAAGGATTATGTTGAAACCATCTGGTATGTTATACTTTTGAGTCCCGGATTTCTAGGATGGCCTTGTTTGCGTTGCCTAATTGTGTCACAGTTGCTTGTGCTCCATCCTAGATCTGGGTCACAGTGCTGTAAAACTGAAGAAATTCTAAAGTTGTGAAGTTTCCAACACTTAGCAATGGAGATAATCAGAGATTGAAATAAACTGACATTTATCTGGTGTTATTGTATGATGGATAATGTCATTAATGCAATTCATATGCAAATGAGGTTGCTTACAGGAACGAAGCTCTGACCATCACGGCTATGCCTTTTTTCTCACTAAGCTGTTGGTGAATGTTTCTAATATGCTTAAATAGTGGTTTCTCAATGTGTCCCTGAAACTTAGGGACAAACCGGATGATGAGGCATGTGGTGTTACATAACATATAAGGAAGTTTACTAAACAATTATATTCATACATGGCTTTTGAAAATACTTTGAGTGAAATTATACCTTTCAAACTATAACTTGAATGACATATGATAATGAGATCATTACCCTCGTGTATTTTAAATATCATGTTAGGATTCCTTGTGTAAAACAATATTTATATCTAACCAACATGATTAACAAGTTCTATTTATATTACATTGTACACCATCTCCTCAAAAACCACTGAGTGTGTTCAGCTGATAATGATGTGAAATTGTATCCATACAATTCCAGGAATGGTTGCTTTGAGAAGTGTTTTCATATTTCAGACCGAGATTGCATACATCAAGCCCACTGAGAGGGACACTTTGGCTTGTTAGTTAGACATTGTCCATGCATTGTTCTTCGTGATTACATTAAAGGATATGTAGTAGGTTAAATATGTCATTCAGAAGCAGATGACATTTTTTGTGCATGTTTTGATGTCTGCCCATGTCATGACTGATTTGAACGAAATGTACTTTAAAGTATTTAGGTTAAAACCAAGCATGTTTCACTTCACCGCAGTCTGTGATGAATACATGTAAGTTACAAGCTGTAACATGCCTCTTGGGATTACTTTCAGCAGACTATAGTGTCAAAATATGGATTATTATCATCAGTCAACACTTTATGATCACATTTCAACCAGCTAACACATCCAGGTTGAGCTCATTCAATCTCAGTCGTGCTCAGGATTTTAGATTCTCATGACACATTTCCTGTTATGTTCCAAATATTGTATACACCCATCATCATGAGTAAATGTGTAATGGTGTACATGCGGTAAACATGAAAGGCAGTGCAGGAACTTAGGGCTGTAACCAGGCACTTCATTGTGGTATGATACATTAAAATGAATTTGCTATCCTCTAAGGAAACCTTTTAATCATGAAACCCCATTGATGCAGGGGTGGAAATAACTTTAAAATTGCTAGTGTACTCCGGAACAGTGGCACATGTAAAATCACTTGCCCTGATAATTGTCCCACTATAACGGCCGTTTTCTTGTTGATTTTTTAAATAAACAACGTA